CTTATTCTCTTTAGGGTGACAGATTCATGGAGGAATTGATATTGTCCATATAAGGAAGGGATTACATCGACCCATTGTTTATGGGGAAAGAGTATTGGGCTAAATTTTTGAGACCTAATTCTGTTACCTTCTAACTGGGAAAGTTATTTAATTTCTCTGGTTTTCCTGAGTGTTCTTCCAGTTCTAAGATCATCTGATTCCAAGTGGACATTTGGGATCTAATCACTCCAGAACTCTTCTGTTCAACTATTGTGGTGGATAGTTTTATGTAGTGTCACTTCTGATATATCACACAAACTCAGTATGTGTTTCTTTCTACCATTGAAATATCCAGTCATGGATCATGCCAGAGAGTAAATTGGGGACCTGACACAACTCAGATTCTGCCTGGACATTTCAAAAAGCCAGATGGTACCAGATTTTTGAGTGCCAATTTAACCTGCTTCTGCAAATTCTCTCCCAAATAGATTTCCCATAGAAATCACCCAATCAAATGTCAACCTATTATTCAGGCTGCTGGGCCAGATTTTTATAAAAGGAATACATGAGCTTTGAAAACCTAGACCTTCTCTGGGATGCCTTCATGCTTCTTGCAGACATGTCTCAGATTAGGAACTAGAATCCCAACCATCAATCAGTTAGCATCACCAAATAGAGTTAGCCAAAATTTCAGTACCAACAACTGGTCTGCATAGGAAAGTTGAGATCTGAGGGAGGAAATTTTTCTGCTTGCTGTGATTTAATTATGACTTTGTGATTCAGATACTGGAAGCAAATATGAATGAGCCAACTCTCAGGACCAGCTGTCAAGCACTTGGCTTATGTTCTGCTGTCATCCCACTTGTCCCAAGCGCTCCTAGTTTGACAGCTCACCAGCTAGTCAAATGTTTGTTTCTTCCACTCTCTGATTCATACTCTGGGGGCCTATCTTAGGATCTTGGACTGTGAAAAGGGTCCCAGCTAGACTTTGCTGGTTGGTTACACCGCAGTGGTTTGAGTTGCAATGACTTAGCAGCCCTAGTTTTTCCTCCTATAGTACAAAGGATGCCAGAGCCCTCTCCATGTGAGATGGAATGTATTCTATAACTGTCCTGTGAAGAGATGGCATTTGTAATGAGACATTCTTGCAGGCGGCCTCCAGAAGTCCCTGTTGTACGACCACTTTATACCACTTTAATGAGCTCCTCACTAGAATTTGTCAAGAGCTCTCACTGACATCCTTGAGTACTATTTAGTTAATGGTTTATTTAGAGCAGGAGTCCTCAAACTTTTAAAACTCACTGTTCCTCAGACCGTTCGAGGGGCAGACTATAATTTAAAAAAAAAAACTATGAACAAATTCCTATGCACACTGCACATATCTTATTTTGAAGTGAAAAAACAAAACGGGAACAAATACAATATTTAAAGTGAAGAACAAGTAAAGTTAAATCAACAAACTTACCAGTATTTCAGTGGAAACTATGGGCCTGCTGTTGGCTAATGAGATGGTCAGTGTCCGGTTCCATATTTGTCACTGCTAGTCGTAACAAGTTAAGGCAGCAAAAACACCCGGCCGACCGAATAAATGTCCTAGGCGGGCCACATGTGGCCCGCGGGCCGTAGTTTGAGAACCCCTGATTTAGAGGAAGGCACCATCTTCATGGGGAGAAGGATAAGCACTTGGAATATGAAGACAATAGACAATAGGCACTCTGCCCTGAGAGAATGGAAGAACTTGGAAAGAAAAAAGGAGTTGCAGTTATCAGTTTTAGCAATTAGGAGTATAAAATTACTGTGAAAAGCCGGCGCGGTGGCTCACGCCTATAATCCCAGCACTTTGAGAGGCCAAGGCGAGAGAATTGCCTGAGCTTGCCGGTTCGAGACCATCCTGGGCAATTTGGCGAGACCTCGTGTCTAAAAAAATAAAATAAATAAATAAAAGAAAAAGATTACTGTGAAATGCAGAAAAAGGAATGGTTAACCAAAACCATCCGTACTTATCTAGTACAGAACAGGTTCGGGTTCTCTTCTCAGATCACATTTCTTTGGCAGCAAAGGGTGATTCAGTAGGTGATCACAGTTTGAGAGCATCCAGTTTCTTCTGATCTCATACTGTTTTCACTGAGCAATCCTCTGAGATGAATTGAGTTTCCTTTGAAGATTTTCCTACAGAGAAGTGTAATGACCAGCTGTTATCATTTTAGTTCTCTTACCAGTTACTATTCTCATTGTAAATTGGCCTGATTTTGTTCCTTCTCTGGGCAGCTTAGCTGGCAGAAATAAGTTATTCCTGGGCCAAATCAAATATCTAGACTTGTAAGGCTAAATTTCTAAACCCAAGAACTCTACAGATTTGTAGATTTCCCAACATATATTGCATGGATATCCACCACAATATCTTCTGCTTAAGTCTTTAAGTTCCAAGGAATGTTGATTCCTTCACTCTAACTTAAATCCTGGGAGGAAAGGAGGTATGAAAAGTAACCCAAAGTTGCAGGCAAAGGAAACTGACTCTTCTCACCCTCCTAAGCAGTCAAGTCTCCCTCAAGCCAGAGACTGTGAACCCAAAGGAATAGCCCAGCTTGTGGCCAATATACCTTTTCTCTACCTTTGTCACAGAAAGTCCTCAGCCCTCTTTGTATACTTCCACCCCATCCTTACCCTCAGTTCCTTCGACACTAATAAACCCTTCTTTGTGCTTCTAAGCCACCTCAGCATTTAGCTTGTGGCATTGCCTCACTTAAACATGAGAAAATGAAAGAAATGAAGTGACTCTGTCAGGGTCACACAGCAAGTTGCTGGTAGAGCCAGGACTAGAGCCTGGGCTTGTTACCCTAAGCACCGTTTTCTCTTGCTTCACCTTGCTCCTCTACATTGTTCTCATGTTTGTATCTGCTGACCTTTGGGGCACTATGGTGACTATAAGGAGGTGAAGTGAAAGATCAAATACAGAAAAGATAACAAAACAGTCTGGTAACAGGAACTGAAACTATAGGAATGAAATGAGCAAAGAAAGCACATTGACCCTCATTTAAGTCCCCAAAGCTTCTGGATGAATCTAATCTGGGGATTATAAAGACCCCTTCATTGCTAGTTGATTCGTAAATGGAAATCAATCATCTTCTTTGCCCCATGTTTTACCTCACTTAAAAGTGTGTCTGTAAGCAATAACATAATTTATAGGTGTACCTACACCAGGCTTGAGGATAAATGAGAGAGAAAGCAGTGGAAATTGCCTAGTCCTTCCTGGCTTATTTTTCATGAAAACCCAATTCTCACATGATTGCTAGTGTTTAACAGTAAATGTCAGAGAAAGAGAAAATGGCAAGGAAAAGGAGATTTCTGCTGAGGTCTAAAAGCACATTTTTTTTAAAGAAAGGTCTGCATACTGTTCTAGTAAGACAGGGACCATCACTTATCCCAATAGGCACAGATGGAAGAACACAAGTGCAAAACAAGTAGGGAGGAGGGACATAGCTGGGCAAGAAACTCTCTCAGTTCAGGGACTTAGCTGTCAATCAGTCACTGATGCACAAAGCCTGAGTATACTCACACCACAGACAAGCCTCCTTCTTCCCCACTTCCCGTTCCTTTTACTGCCTGGCTATTTCCAATTTCATGCTTTTTTCAATGTTAGCAAAATTCCAAGGAAACTATATTAATAACAAGCATTCTTTTTTTTTTTTTTTTTTTTGGCCTGGCGTGGTGGCTCAAGTCTGTAATCCCAGCACTTTGGGAGGCCAAGATGAGAGGATTGCCTAAGCCCATGGGTTCAAGACCAGCCTGGGCAACTTGGTGAGACCTTGTCTCTACAATAAATCAAAAAATTAGCTGGGCACGGTGGCACATGCCTGTAGTTCCACCTACTTGGAAGGCTGAGGTGGAAGGATCACCTGAGCCCAGCAGGTCGAGACTGTGGTGGCCGGGAGCGTGCCACTGCACTCTAACCTGGGTGACAGAGTGAGACTCCAACTCAAAAAAAAAAAAATCACATCTTTAAATAATATGGATTTTCACTTTTTAAAAAATTGCTGTTCGAGACCAGCCCAGGCAACTTGGCAAGAACTTGTCTCTACAATAAATCAAAAATTAGCCAGGCATGGTAGCGTGTGCATGTAGTTCTGGCTACTTGAAAGCTGAGGCAGAAGTTTCACCGGAACCCATTAGGTTGACACTAGGGTGGGCGGTGAGCATGCTTCTGCACTCCAGCCTGGACAGCAGAGTGAGACTCCAACTCAAAAAAAAAAAAAAATTACTGTGGTGAAATATATATAGCATAAAATTTAAACAATTTTTTAATATACAAGTCAATAGCATTAATTATATTTATAATGTTGTACAACCATCACCACTGTCTATTTCCAAAATCTTTCCATCCAAACAGAAAATCTATACCCATTAAGCACTAGCTCCCCACTCTCCTCACCCCTAGTAATCTTTAATCTACTTTTTGTCTTAGGAATTTATGAATTTAATGCCAACCATTTTTTTTTAAATTGAACTCTCACTCTTGTTGCCCAGGCTGGAGTGCAGTGGCACTCTCACAGCCACTGCAGCCTCAACCTGCTGGGCTTAGGCAATCCTTCCACCTCAGGCTTCCAAGTAGGTGGAACTACAGATGCATGTCACCACACCCGGCTAGTTTTTGTGATTTATTGTAGAGACAAGATCTCACCAAGTTGTCCAGGCTGGTCTCGAACCCCTGAGCTCAGGCAGTCCTCTTGCCTCAACCTCCCAAAGTGGGGAGCTGGGATTACAGGCTGAGTCACTGCACCCAGCCTACCAGCCATTCTTAATTAACTGTATATACCTCCTAAAGTGTAACAGCAGTAGAAAAAAAGAACCAATATTAAAAGAAAAAGGATTATGAATAAAAATTGAATTCTCATTTTCTTATAGAAGACTCAAATACAGTTGAAAGCTTTTATTATGACTGAGCAGTTTTATGCTCCCATTCAGAGAAAACAAATGAAATTCCCTCTCTTATGCTAATGAAGCATCTTTCTTTCTTTTTTCAGTGACTATGCAGCAGGTGGCCAGGACAGTGGCTAAAGTGGAACTCTCAGACCATGTGTGTGATGTGGTGTTTGCACTCTTTGACTGTGATGGTGAGTAAGGCCCTTTGGAATCTGGAGAAAACTGAGCTTCACTGCCCTTAGACGCATTGTTTATAAGGAACCTTGCAGACAGCATCATTGTACTAGCCTATACTTCTTTAAGCTACTCTTTACCGCATCAGTAGCTCCACCCTCGGCATCATAATATTGAGAACTATAATCCCTGACCCTGGCTTCTGTTTTCCATTTCTTCCTGTAATTCCAGTTTGCCTGTAGGCCTAAATTAACTTATAACCCTAAAGATCTTAAAAGTGGGAACAAAAATATTAGACTTCACTTGCTGCTTAGTAGATAAGGAGCACTGAAATATTTGAGTGTCTCTAGAAAGGGCACATTTCCATCATTCACATTCCACCTGTACAGCATTCCCACTCACACAGTGTCTGCTGTGTCTATGGCCACTCTGTAGTTTAGCCCATGGGAGAGATCTGGATTTGCCTTGGCATTGTTTTTTTAGCTATGTTAGCTAATACAATAGCAACAGCAATGGAAGCTCATATTTTTTTCAGTGCTTACTATGAGCCAGAAAGTTAACCTACGCATTTAACTCTTCTGATGTAGATATTGTCACTAACCACATTTTACAGATGAGAAAGCTGAGACTCAGGTTAAGTAAATTTCCCAGGATCCAAAGATAACAGCAGATGGCAAAACCGGATTTGAACCAAAACTGTGCAGGCCCTGTATACTGTATCCCCTCCCTCTCTCATCTCACAGCCAGTATTCATTGCCACTTCCTCCAGGAAGTGAGGCTAGTGGAATTCAAGAGGCAGCTCAGAAGTTTTAGCCTATGGAGATTCCCTCTGGGTCTCAGCATAATAAATACCTCTAGCTTTTATATTCCTTTCTTCCATTTTTTTTTTTTTTTTTGAGTTGTTATCTCACTCTTTCACCCAGGCTAGAGTTCAGTGGCACATTCACGGCCACCCCAGCTTCGACCTGCTGGGTTCTGGTGATCCTTCTGCCTCAGCCTTCCAAGTACCTGGAGCTACAGACACACGTTCCCATGCCCAGCTAATTTTTTATTTATTATAGAGACAAGGGCTCACCAAGTTGCCCGAGCTGGTCTCAAACTCACGGGCTCAAGCAATCCACTCGCCTCAGCCTCCCAAAGTGCTGGGATTACAGGCTGAGCCACTGAGCCTGGCCCCATTTTTTCATGTTAGTACATATTATATTCTATCTCAGTATATGTGACTTAACTTCCCTAAATTTTTTTATTTTTTGTTTGTTTATTTTAAGTCGGGGTCTCTGTCAACCTGTCTGGAATGCACAATCACAGCTCACTGCAACCTCAAGCTTCCTGGCGCAGGTGATCCTTCCACCTCAGCCTCCCGAATAGCTGGGACTACAGCCACGTGCCACCATGCCTGGCTAGTTTTTTGATATTTTGTAGAGACAAAGTCTTGCTATGTACAGGCTGGTGTTGAACTCCTGGACACAAGCGATCCTTCTGCCTCAGCCTTCCAAAGTGTCAGAATTACAGGCATAAGCCACCGTGCCTGGGCTTAACTTCCATATTAATTGTTAGCTTTTTAAGAGTAGTTACAAATCCTTTCACCTTTGCATATAATAGATGTTCATTAACTTGAATTATTTAAGTTATTAAGTTGAACTTGAATTATTTAAATCTCCAGCCTGCACCCACAAACCCAAGATTCGATTCAAAGGAAGCCCCAGGGCTAGATTAAGGAAATAGTCTCATTCTCAGGTAGGGGTGAGTTATATCCTAGAGCTGTTCTGTCCATAATATATCAGCAGTTACATGTGATTACTTAAATTTTAAAACTCAAGTCCGGCCAGACTCAGTGGCTCAGCCTGTGATCCCAGCAGGCTGAAGCGAGTGAATTGCCTGAGCCTGCAGGTTCGAGACCCACCCGGGCAACTTGGCGAGACCTCGTCTCTACAATAAATCAAAAATTAGTTGGGTGTGGTAGTGCACACCTGTAGTTCCGGCTACTTGGAAAGCTGAGGCAGAAGGATCGCCAGAGCCAAGCAGGTCAAGGCTGCCATGGCCAGGAGCATGCCACTGCACTCCAGTCTGGGCGACAGTGAGACGCCAACTCAAAAAAAAAAAAAACACTCAGATCCTTGGTCTCTCTAGACACATTTCCAGTGCTCAGTAGTCACATGTGGCTAGTGACTACTATATTGAATAGCACAGATACAAAACATTTCCCCATAACACAGAGAATTCTGATGAATAGCACTGCTTTCTACAAATTTGTTTTCTTTCTAATCATTTCTAGGTGTTTGAAGCCAATTTCCTAGAGCTGGTTTGTGAAATGAATATGAAAATAAAAGCAACTAACTCTCAGTTCCCCCCTTCTCCTAGGAAGTTCCTGGGAAATGATGTTGGATCTTCCTGCCTTTTAGAAGGAGGCTCTGTCATTATCTACCTAAATCACCTTTGGAAAATCATTTAACATCTAAAGCCATTGTTAGCTCTACCAGTATAATATCTTAGGTCAAAATGTCAGAGTTCAGAGAATTCCAGTTTTTAGATAGACGCCTTTATCACAGAACTTCGAGTAGAGCTCACAGACAACGCATGCACGCAAATGACACACAGTCACATACCTGTCTCATCGTTAACAAAATTCATTTATCGTGGTCAGCTCTGGCCTAGGGAAGCAGGAGGCAAGTTTTGAGTGAAATGATCTCATATTTTTCATTTTCAAGTTTCTCTTTTTTTTTTTTTTACAAAGTATAAGAATCCTGTTTAGACCTTTCTGTTAATCACATTCATTTTTAATTTTAGAGACAGAGTCTCACTGTCTCCAGGCTAGATTACAGTGGCTTGATCATAGCTCATCACAGCCTCAAATTTTGGGCTATGATCCTCCTGCCTCAGCCTCCTGAGGAGCTGGGACCACAGGCACATACCATGCCCAACAAATTATATATATATATATATATATATATTTTTTTTTTTTTTTTTTTTT